TCGGCGTAGCAAGATACATGACATGTGGTATGCAGCCATATCATGTAATGATGCGAGTTAAAGTATACTTTATATTGTCGGCGATGGCGTCAGTATTTTGGTCGGACACACTTCATCCCTGGCGACCGTTTCCACCTGAACATTGTCAAACACACATCATGCATCTGTATTCGAACTTAATGTGCACACTAATGTGAAGCTAACTCTGCCGATGTCAAACATTTCAGGAATACTCGTGTGTCCACATAATACATCTGCGTAAGACTTAAGCGACGTAGTTTTTTGACACAAACTACAACATTGCCGAACAACTGCAAGCGGACTTATCCACAGGCACGTTTACAATGCGAGCAGTTTCATCCTGAACTTTTGCAGACGATTTTTTGTAAGGCAAGGTATTCACATAGGGAATTCTTACAAAGTATTACGAAACTAACACCGGACGTGGCTTACCCTGATCGACTTCACGTATGCAGACTTGCAACTTGCAAACAGCTGTCACATGGTCTTTTCTATACGTATTTTTTATCCGAAAGCAGAGGGAGCACTCCTCAGGTTCCATCCGGTGCCTGTACCAATCACTCTGTTGAGTTCAAAAGTACGCATAGAAAATATCGCGTAGTAATTTGTCTTAGGATAAAGGTTGAATCGCGTAGTAATTTGTCTTAGGATAAAGGTTGAATCGCGTAGTAATTTGTCTTAGGATAAAGGTTGTAGGCGTAAGTATGGCCGAACGACATACGTATACCAAAGAAGTTGTCATGCAAAAACTTAATTATGCAAAAAGCCGCTATACAGTATGACAAAATATTGACCGGGAAACTATCGTAACGACTATACTCTGGGCGGAAAAGTTCGTGAGAAAAAGTCGCATGCGTTGTTTGAACGCAATACCCTTCAGCGGTAAATGTCGTAAAAGGATCCAACGCTCTCGTGCAAAGTGTTACGTTAGTAACGTGCCAGTACGCAAATATGCATACACCTGTGCTCCTCAGGAATAGATCAGAGATATCCTCGGTTCATTTAACTATGAATCCGAAAGGTTGCACGTGCGAAATAAAACCCAGCGTTGGAGCCGGGCCTGGGATAAATTGCCAGTCCGCTTGTTTTTGGAAGAGCCTAAACGGTAAATTACACTAAAGCGATACATGCCGGGGAGGGACACACTGCCATAAAAATGGCATTTTGGGACCAGATGATGCAACAAGTGTGTGGTCTGGCGGCAGCCATCGGGGTCAAGCATGTGACCAAGGCGTTTGCTTACGGCTATGCGAGTCCTGTGCTGCACACATGTCCATTCCCATTCTTCACCGAAAACGCATAGCAACACGCAAATCAAGCAGCATCGTAACGAGGCAAATCGTCCGCCCCCGATTCTGACTTCGTATAAAGCTTAATGGAAAGAGACCGACTCTGATAGAGTCCGACGAAAGAGGCCGAAAAAACGGACTGAAATCACCCCAGCCCTGTACGGTGCAGATAAAACCCAGCCCTACAGGAAAAGCCCGACCTTGGATGACACCGACAGCCGTGTTCGTGGTTGCTCGGAGGAAGTCACGCGTCAGGCGTCACGGCGTGAAACTGGTGTGCAAGGAGGGCATGGCGGTGTTAACTCGTGCCGAGCTTGCATCAGTATGTAACCGCTCAATCATGAGCGGAGCTATGGATTTTGATACCTGCGCTGCGTGCTCGGAGCGACTTGGAAGGGTGTAGGAACAGAGGGTTGTAGAAGGACTATGGGGGGACAGAGATGTTCAGCGAAGCTGATAAAGCAAACGCTTTGAAGAGTATGGAAGAATGCATCATGCGGGACCATTCACGGGAGCCAGTGGTTGAGAGGGTCGGCAGCAATCACCTTTGTCCCAACATGTGCCCGTTTAATTGTTCTTATGCTCCATGCGTCCTGCTCCCATGCCGAGTTTTACGTATGAACATGTTAACTAGTTGTACTGGCCGGCGCCAAGCATGTGGCCGAAACGGTGGTTTATTGGCAGCCCATGTAAGCTTCAGATAAAGCACAAATACCACCCCATGTTGATGCGAGCTCAGGTTGCCGAAAACATGCACGTAAATTCCAGTCTTATCAGTTGTTGCGGTTGTGAAATCATTGGTTGTGTTCAGGTCAATCGCAGGTTGTGCAATCATTTGCACAATATGCGGCAAACCTCTACGCGGAAACGCGTCGGGGTTTGTCGGCTGGAGAGTGCGGTATTTGCGGGATAAGTTGGCTGGAGGGCGGGGGTTCGTCGGCTGAGGTGCGGGTGAACGTCGGGTTCAAAGCAGGCCGACGTCGGCATGACGTGCACGCTGGCTGAACGTCGACACATGCGAGCATCGGTCGCACTGACGTCAGCGTGTTGATTGGATATCCGTCAGCTGCCTTATAACACCAGCAAGGAAATTTGCATTGAAATGTGCGGGAATGAAAATGTCATTTTTTATGCAGCCCTCGTTTGCAATCCATAGGCATAATTTACGTTTTGCAAATGCTGAGATGCAAATTAATGACATAATTGTGCCCATATATAATGTTTATAACAGTATTTGCGTGGTCTAGTAATGGCCCAGATCACTGAACGAGACACGCTGCACCCTGTCTTAGAAATGGAAGCCCCCACCAGAATGATGTTGACAGCAGCGATGACTTCCATAATCACTTGATGACTAAATCTGAGTAGGCTCCTCTCTCTCTAGAGATGAGAGTAGGAGAGAGAGATAGACAGAGAGTAGAGGAGGAGCAGATCGATAATCTGATGAGGATACTTCTCTAGCTAGGGAGAGAGTGCTTCTATATCTATCTCTAAGATCCTCTCTCTAGTATCTCCTATGCATTCTCTCGATCTCTCTCTATCCCTCTCTCTCTCAGATCTCTCTCCTGAGACTCATCTCTATATAGCGTGAGGGATAAGAGAGCGAGAGAGAGATCTAGGTCGAGAGAAGGTGCAGGGATACCGCTCTCTCTCTCTAGCTCTCTCTCTTTCTCTGCTCTCTCGAGTCTCTCTCTCTCTCTCTCTCTCTATCTCTCCTCTCCTCTCTTCCTTCTCCTCTCTCTCTCTTCTCTTCCTCTCTCTCTCTTTCTCTCCTCTCCTCTCTCTCTCTCTCTCTCTCTCTCTCTCTCTCTCTCTCTCTCTCTCGCTTCTCTCTCTCTCTCTCTCACTCTCTCTCTCTCTCTCTTAGAATCTCTTCATCTTCTCTCTCTCTCTCTCTCTCTCTCTCTCTCTATCTATCTGTGTCTCTCTCTCTCTCTTCTCTCTCTTCTCTCTCTCTCTCACTGGAAAGGAATTTAGAAAGCTACACCCTTGTCTCATGTGCTGACTGAAAATTTACAATGCAGGCACAAAAAAATAGTTCAGGGCGGAACTTGTGCGACCTCCGAGATCTGGCAATACTTCTACTGAGATAAGTAGTACAATAGGAGTGAAAATGTCCGAAAATAAGGTAGGATATCACACTTCGGAAAGCACCAAAGCAGCCGATGTAACAAATATCCTCAGAAATAGCTAGAAACAACTTATTCTCCGATGAAAATTGCACGTTCGGAAACAACTCAATCAATTTTACCTGTGCAACATCAGTTGTAAATGACATCAATAACCTGCCAATATTCAGACGATGGTCTTACGTATAAAGTTTGTATCATAAAACATTATGCGCCCGCATGGTACTACTTGACACAAAATATAGATGACCCCCTACACAACCACTTGCGTCAAGGCGCCCTTTAACAAGAAAAAAACTAAACATCACCATCGTCATACTAAATGACGTGCTTACGTGGTACATACTGCTTGTTTCACTAACAGTAAAGTGTAGATAATTGTTCTGATTATTTGGCCAAGTACGCTCATGACTATTTGGCCCTCTGCTCACATGCCTTAAAGGGGCTCAGGGGAGCATTGGAGGGGGGGGGGGGGGAACGGGAGGCTCAGCCCCCGAGAGTATATTAAGTGACGCCTCTGGTCACATGATCACATTTAGCAATGATGAAGCAGTGTACATCGAATCAGTTGGTAGAGCTACGAAATTACGGTAGACGGCAAGCCACTCGGAGACCCTGTTTTTCCGATGTCTTCCAAACCCACTACTCTGCATGTAAACATTTTAGCTGAACATGATTCAGGGCCCAACGGAACTTCTATTCTCAAGGTTCGCGCATTTGAAAATCGATGGCACACCCATTCACGCGCGAGGGTAGAAAGAGCACACGGAAGATTACCTGTGTTTATGGCCATGGTATCAAAGCCTCCTGACATAACGCACCCTGAGTAAATGCGCAACTTCGAACAAATACGAGACGAATGTATATCTTACCGCAAATCCAACTGCAACTACCTCAATTCTCCTTCGCTGCCCACGTTTCAATACACGAGCACCGCTGGGCCTCCCATTTGGTGCGATATAAAGCAGGTCATTTCAGTCGCCCAGAGTATGACGCCCGTCGACCGCGGTGGCAATTTCGCGCTTGCCAGTATGGCTTAAAGACGCCCGTACCAGATATTTCAAAGCTAGTACCTAAAAAGGACAGACGTGGTATTAAATGTAACGACTGCTCACAGCCTTATACGTACTTCATACAAATGCGTTGCCTGACCCCGCCCTGTCATCCACAGGGCACAGACCGTCTGAACGAGTTGACAGTCCGATCTACTTGACGGTATACACCGTTCGTGGTAACGCCCACATTGAGAGAATGGACTCAGTGGTCTGGAAGGGCTGCCCCGTTCAACGTTTTGTAAAGTCCCTAGCCCCAAGCACAACCATGGGACTTTCCTAACCTAGACCGAGTGTCATCATTAGCTTAATCCATTTTTTATCACATGTCAACAATCATATAATAGTGTGCAAAATGTCCTCTTGAACGAGACATGGTAATCCAAACCGGGCCTCGGGAGCATTTCGAAAACAAAATGTTTTGAGCATGACTGATGTCCCCATGGCCGCCAAAATATACCAGGATATGGCCCACGGTATAGTTAACAAGACCATGACCAAACCAAATATAACACAGAGTTGGAGGATTTATTGACACGCGAGATACAACATGTTTAGAACTGGATCATCACTCCCTTCCTTCTCTTGTCTCCTCCCAACTCGAAGTGCTTGCAGCGCTTGATGGGCACCTGACGCTTATGCTTGCAGGCGGTGCATTCCAACCGCAGCACGATCTTCTTCGTGGTCTTGGCCTGAAAACAAGAACAGAACGAAATCAGTTACAGTGCCATTCGCGAGGAGACAATATATGCCGTCTTAAATGACGCACGCTGTCGGTACAGGAAATGCCAATTCCGGCAGGTTATTACTAGATACGTATGCTGACTACATTTCCTGGCACAGCTGGGTCCACATAAACGCGGAAAGATACGAATGCTTAAAAGGAACAAGGATTAGTTGGGCAGGAGGATATAAGTACAATCATTTAAAGTAAACGCGGAATGGTGCAAACTTACGTACGATGTCACGGAATCACATACAATCAACAGCAACATAGAAACGCATGACGTCAATCCAATGAAACACCAATCATTGGAAACCGTAACCGAGTTGAACATCGGAATTCAGAGCAGAAATGACGCAGTTACAGCGAGGACAGCACCCATACAACCGCTGCCGTCTCCAAGTGCATTGAACAATCAATCATCCACGGCCCGCATTGTCATGGGTTCTGGTAAGACAGAAATCTCTCGACGACAAACGGCAGCCTTCTTTAAAGTTGCATAGTATTCCAGGCCACCGCGGATGCGTCGCTTGTCATAGCAAAGCAAAACTGTTCGTCAGTCAGCATTTTCCAAATTACACTACAAATTGAACTTTGGATCTTTCTGGCGGCGCGAACAGTATGCTTTGTTTAAGTTAAGCAGGAAAACTGGAACAAGTTCCACCTTTGATCTTATAGATTGAACAATGTCCACCGTTTGTCCACGGATGTAAATGTTTTATTTATCCTTGTAACCGGTTTATGATCAACGCGGTCTTCAAAAACGCGTAGTGCCTAGGTGCGCTCAAGACAATTCAGCTTGATCTGAACAGTCTTTCAACACGTCATCGGAACCGAGATAGCACGGTCAGATCTAAGGATTTGCACGATTGCAAATCACACTGCAGCAACATTTATGACCACCAAAACAACTATCACGGACTTAAACCAAAGGAGCGTACAATATCATACGCGTCTTAAAATGGAAACGTGTTCGCACTCAGTGATGGCAAACTGTGATTAAAAGCTTCGTTCTTGCTAGCGCATTATGGTCGCAGAACTAAGTGGGGAACACAATACATTCCAAGAACGGTGCTCGCTTGGTGCATTGATCGAAACCTCACAGTCATGTCGCTTAATGATCATGTGGCTGTGCCGCAACTGACACAAATCGCTGATATTGCAGCAAGGCGACCACCAGGACATGCGCCTTTGTGACAGTCGATTTGGAAAGGGCATCTCCTTGCCGAACTTAATTTACACAGGAGGTATTAAAATTAAACTCGAGATCGTTTGGTATCGCAGTACCGAAAGCAGTCATTTTTCACTACTGGCAGAAATACAACGGCTGACGAGGTCACAATCTCCCGATAAAAGGCTGTACCTGAAGCACTACTGGTATCGGTCGAACGACGAAAAATGTTTCACCGCGTTCGAGTTAAGGCTATAGTTTTGCATTTAAAGTAAACAAATACATTTGAGACTTAGATGCCCAATACCAAGCAGCCGCCTACTTAGACGACAGATCATGTATGGAAATGTGACAAATTAAGCGTGTGAATGTTGGAATCGGAATAGTCTGAACAATGCCGGGAAATGAAAAACGAGTAGCAGAATGGAACCGGTCCGTAAATTAGGAAAGCTCTCAAATTTGACGTCTTCTGCCGACCAGCTCAAAATAGAACATGATCTAATAAACCATTAACAACGAACCACGTTGATTGCCAAGGGATACAACGAACGGTGACAAAAAGCTGCACAACCAAGCACGTACCGCAGATGGCCACCTACCAACGCTCCATGAAGGTCTTATTTGTGCTGGTCCAGAACTGCCCAGTTCGGACACAGCCCTTTCACTACGGCAAAAACACCAAAAGAGCAGAGTAATGTGATCCCATTAATTTAGCCTCGCAAATAAAGGAAAAGGATTTGTTAGGGCCACGACATCAATGAGTTGGAAAATAAATTATCATATTTCGCAATGTCGGTTAAAGCGCACTCAAATCCATTTATACATTGTATTATCCACTGGAGTCAGTCGGGTGCCTAATTCCGATCCCTTTTGGCCGGCCTGAACAGGTCTGTCAGGCATTGCACTTGCGCTGCATCGGTAAAGCGGTTGAGAATGCTGCCTGTCTATCATTCGGCTGGGACGTGCGGGGCCTCGCGTGTTGTCGGGAGTTCCGAGCTGGAGACGCATGAAGGGTTTGTCGTTTTGAAAGCCAGTTACCAGGTACAGCGTGAGTAGCGTGTTCGCGGTGGAGCGTGAGTAGCGTGTTCGTGGTGGAGCGTGAGGAAGTGGCTGTCTGTGACACATTCATTGGCATTCTTGTGTTCCATTTTCCCCTGGTCAGTTCCAAACTTATTTTGCGAAACTGCACAGCTTACTGAGTGGCTTGTTGACAACTTTGGGAGATCCATGACCCTAGACCATAGACCCTAGATCTGTGGTATTGTCAGCTTTTTCACCAATTGCCCATCCATATATATGTACATGTGTTTCATGTTATACAGAGTCTGAGGCTGTGTTGTTTCAGTGTGTTGTGTTTAGTACTGATGTTTTCTTTTATCTGAGGTGCCCTTACATGAATTGCTGCACTTGAAAAGTGGCGCTTCTATTGAGTACCACACACTGTATTGTAATATCCCAAAGATAACCTAAATAAAAGTCTAAGGACTCACAGCACTTGGAAAATTATGCATTCCACTTTGGAAAATTTGCACTCCACTACCAAGAACATTCTTGGAATTTACAACACTGTATATATTGCACATGCCAAGGAGGAATAAACATCAACTCAAGGAACACCACGAATAATGTATGTTACGATGTCAAATTATATCAATCATAAAGACAACTTTTTCAGATAAACAAGAGATGATACCATACCAGTGCACACATGGTGCCATGGGGACAGTGCGATGAGAATTACATATTCACTCATGTGTGAAGCTGGCCAGTTTCACAGCAATCAGCTAAAACCAAATTAGGACAAACCTTCTTCCTGAAGATTGGCTTGGTCTGACCACCAAAACCAGCCTGCTTCTTGTCATAGCGCCGGCGACCCTGTGCAGCAATCCTTTCCTTGGACTTCTTGTACTGTGCTACCTTGAACACCTTGTGGGACTTGCAGCTCCTGCAGAATGTTCTCTTGGTCTTTGGAACGTTCACCTGGAACACGGAGCATGTTATCACAATTGCAGCTCAGACTGCATGAACTCAATATCATACAAACCTGATATAACACCTGTTGAAATACAAACATCTTAGTGCACAATATAAGACAGAACATGACAGAACATAAGTGATAGTGCTGAAAGGAAGAGTGAATGAAAAGGAACAGAAAGGAGAAATAACATGAGAGGTAATCATGTGAAACAAAATTGTATGATTCAACAGATTTTTAAGGGCAGCACCCTATACCAGGTGCCCATCACCTAAATAAGTGACAATGTAACCAAAAGCAACATTCAAAGAAAAACTTCCACTGCCACTGGAAGAAATGGTGCTCCTGGCAGTGCATATTTATAACTAAACTGCCTGAAAAAACTGCCAACCAATGGAAACACAAGGCAGATCGAAATTTGCACTTTCCACATGGCCGTGGTCCACGTGTATTTAAAACTATCTACTGTGACATAACCAACAAATCTGGAAATTGCAAATGACTCCAACTAATTAGGGCACTACCATACTCAACTATGCACAATGTTTTGTTAAGATCCTCTCCCAGAGTGAAGTATGAACACAAACTGAGTTTGGTTGTTACCCTTGGTACATTACATACCTCCCAGGGCCATTAGCATGGAACACACACACACATGGAACACTTCACAAACCAGTATCCTTGGATATTTTACAAGTGACTAGATGCACTTTTCACTTTGGACCAGAGGAAGGGGAGGCTGCCACCCATATGTGGCAAACATTAGCTCAGCCCCATCCCCCACTTCAAAACCAACCTCCACACTTTTATGTGGAGGTCATCCTTGTCAACATTTCATATATGAATTTATAGTTGTTCACTTGATATTTCTACAACTTTGACATGTGTATGCTTTGTTCCTTGTGCTGGCTCAGTGGTACAGTTGCTTGATGGTGTGCCAACATAACAGGTCCCTGGTTCAAACCTGAGTGAGATACACTTTCTTGACTGGCTGCTACCTAGGACGTGGTAGGCACTGGGGAGTGATCACCCTGTTGCACAATTAACACTTTGTCAACTGGCACATGCAGTGGTAGACTGTGTGCAACATTGTGTGCAATTAGTATTTTTGTTGACAGGGAAATTACATGACATTTGTCTGAAACACTTCCCACATTGACCATCCATGATACAAATTCCAAAATTTTGTGTATGGATGCACATAGGTTAGCGGATGTATCCTTTCAGAATACTACTTAAAGCACCCAGCCGAGACAATAGTGCAAATCAATATCAATATCTTAAATGAACCGCGTAGAGCTCTATAGATCATAGAGCTCTATACCACATTTAAGGTGAACAGCAGCAGCATATGAATGCATAAAGGGTACTTTTATTCTATCAAGCATAACAGCAACACAGGTGGTTTTCCAGGGCCATGTCACATGTGAAGTGACATGGATTTCAAGCACATGGATCACACCTCCATGGGACACAGAACCTATGAATTCTGTCTCTCACCAGATCCAAAATCACAGGGAAAACTTGATAGATGTCTGTGGATCATTCAAAGTGAAGCATCTGTGCCTGGTAAAAATCAACCCACTGTTTGGGATTATTTAGTCTGCAATATATGACACAAAAGATGTGCAGGAGCATTGGTGACAGGTGCATATTTTCATCCCAAGCACCAGCTTTGCAACTTGTGCTGTTCACCCTGTCACACAACCTGCCACACAATATTTACAACAGAGAAGGAAAGCAAATGCTTCCAGCCAATATGATGAACTACCATGATACACACAACCAACTGTAGGTAAGATCCATATTGGACAGCTGTCAGGACAGTCATGCAAGACCTATGTCTGAAACACTCCCAATCCCATTTTGGTTGGGCACCTCTCTTGTTTGTTGTAGGTTGTCACAAGACAACTGACAACAATAATCCCTCATGCCTTGTTTCTGAACATCAGTGAAATCAAAAGCCAAGTTTAGGTTAACAAAAACTTATGTACTTGTAGACCATGATGTGAAATGCAGCTTGGGTCAAGTGCTGGTGTGGAAAATGTTTAAACACAGATGCTTCACCCCTGGCACAGTTTGAGATGGTTACTTTATGTTACATATGCCAAAACATCCATCACCTGAACATCCACCAAAGCATAATCAAAAGGCACAGCACAGGGAGCCCCCCCCCCCTCCCCCTCTTTAGGCCCAAATTTTTTATTTCTTAAAAATCAGTATAATGCACTTTCACCAACCACCCTGTCTCACATGAGACTTGGGCCAGATATCATCAAGAGAAGGGTGCTGCAAACATTGATATTTGAGGCAGGTTTGGGAATTCAGGATAATAAATCCCTAAATTGGGGTAGCTGACATTATTTCGAGAAAGCTCACGGTACCTTTGAGTGTTGATACTGGCATCAGAACCAGTATGTACTGAACTGTAGGAAAGATCAGGCTCAACTGCAAAATGTGCTGCAGGGTGTAAAAATAAGTGACTCTCAAGGTCAAATATGCCACACTCACATCAGCTGAGGGTATGGTGTATTTTATTTGCTGCAATATTATCCAGTCCAGTCCTGCATGTGGCTGCCAGTAAAATATATGTAGCAAAAGACCCACCAAGAAAAAAATAGCTTAAGGGTGCTTTGCTTGCTTGAATAGCTTTAGATAACAAGTGGCATCCAGGCATTAAGCTTCCTGCCTGCATCCTCTTCCACTTCTTGTACTTAGCACACAAACTACCCACAAAACAGAACACCAGAGAGCCCAGTGGTCAGTCTGGCAGCTCTGACACAATAGACTTATGCAACTTGCATTACATTATAATGAATGCAGATTCAGACAAGTTACTGCAACAAGTCACCGTTATTCATCACGTCATCCTATTCCAAGGCGTAAGCAGGAGTCAGAATGCAATGCAAAATACAAAAAATTTCAAGACAACAGATGTATCACAAACTAACTCCAATGACCTAATGATCCTAACAAAAGCAGGTTGGCGATCATTTCCAGAACATGTGAGGTCATCAATGTGTTACAACCAAATGCCACCCCAATTAATAGCGGGCTGGTAAGAACCTTTTCACCATTTTGCAGGCAACAAGGTTTTGAATGCCCTGAAATGTTATGTATTATCCATTCAGGAAATTATTAGATTCTGCCAATGTAAATGTCCAATTATTACACTTCAACTATTGCATGCAATCAAAACAGGCATGATAAACATGCAATCTAAATATTTCAAAGGTCCCGGATTACAAACCTTACAAGTAAGCAACAGATATAGATCACGTAGTGCCACATGGACGGGTAATAGTTATTCTGGTGAGAACTGGGTGGTTCTACAATGCGGCGGACACGATCCCACACATCGCCAGGGATTTATACGACGGTGGGGCACACCCTAACAGATTTTTGCAGTATGAAACACTACCAGTTCAATGCATAGTTTCAATCTCATGCCATGCCTTTCCACGCCAGGACGCAATAATCAGACAACACACAGCCCAAGATAATGGAGGCCCTACCATCTTGGCGAATTGGTTTCGAAAAGGAAGTTTACAATCTATCGATTGGATAAACAATGAATTCTGCTCTTCTCACACAATCGATACTTGAAATTTGTTGGAAGAATAGTGTATCTCTACATCTATGGTGTTAAATTTATGTTTAATTTAATATGCAAAGAGATATTTTAAGAGAAATAAGTTTATTTCCTCAATATTTAATGAAACAGCATGTTTTGAGCTATTTTGATTGATTTTTAAGTCATATTTTTGTGTTTTAAATAGTTTCGACGCGAAAAATTAAAAGAAGACCAAAAGCATAAGCAAAGGTAAGAATGTAATTCAAATCGATTGAAATTCTATCACCGGAAATACGGACAAGTCTCGGAGGCAATCATACTCTAAAGCCCAAAACAAATACCGATTTTACTCCAAAAACACGGCGACATGAAATTGGGAATTTTTTCCCAAATAAGAACAGTATTTCAGCTAAGACGCCACATATCTTGCTAAAATTTGAAAAGACGTCGCTAGCAGCCAAGAAAAATGCAAAAGCATCTTATGAATGTATTCTGTTTGTGCATTATCAGCAAGCGATCGCAGCGCCATCACCCGGAGTTGTGCGAAGCTCGTGGTAGTAGTACGCCGTGGACGCTCGTCCAAAAATCAAATATATATCATCATGAGTGAGACACAGAGCAAGAAAGACCTGGGAAATGGCAAGGCCGACAAGGGAGACGTCAAGGGCACCAAACGTGCGGCGGAGGTAAGTAGTACTTTTTTTGAAATGGTTCGGTCCCCGTGCGTTCGCCGGCTTGGTGCGGCACGTGCGTATTCCCGCCGGCATGTAGTTCCGACCGGACGCGAATGTTTTTTCAATGAGCGCATCTAGTGCCGAGAATGCGTGTTGCCGGATGGCTCGCATCACGTTTGGTCGCTTTGTTTCATTTCATTGTGTCAAACCCCGTTGGCTCCCCGGTTTTTTGGGATAGCCTCTACCTGGGCGGAGTCGTCCGGAGATATCTTTCCAATCTCCCCGGCCGTCGCGCATCTGAGTCTCAGGGGTTATGGATGGTGGGTGTGGAAAGGTGTGATGGGTGTCGTGTCGCATGCGCACGTCACCGCTCGGGCGGTTTGGCGGCTGCTACATTTGTAGCCTCTGACCAGGTGCCATGAAACGTCACTCGTCGAGTCGCGGCCCCGCGATCACCGGTTGGCCGGCGCTAGGATTCGGGCAAGTCTGTCGGCAACTTTCTGCTTGCAGTTTGTGATGTACATAAGATTGGAATTAAATGGAAAATTCCGGTGTTACACGCTGGAATGGGCACGAAGCCGTAATGTTCAATATATTTACCTTGGATTCGTCTGAATTGGGCAGTCGGCGTATTTCACCTTCCGCGGGCCCAAAGTAGAAAAAAACTACGTCGAAGATGTCCGTCGTAGCAGCGACATCGCGGTTAAAATTTCAGCACATGCGCGCTGTAAATCCGAGCGCTCAGAGTTCGTCGCGCGATAGCCACCCTTTCCAGGACAGAGGGAGCCAGGGAAGTCTGAACCACCCAGATTTCAGGGAATTTTAATGTTCCAAAAGTAACTTCGGGCTAAAATTGCTGCCGAGGCATTTTTCATGTCGGCATAAGAAGTAGATTCAGCTCAGCTTAGCCTGGCTGGAGCATCGTGGACACGGGCGTGAGGCTCAACGCATCGATGTGTAGGCGTCTGGCGCATGCGATGGGTTGCTTGCATGCTGGCGGGGGGGGGGGGGAGGAAAGGCAGAGTTGACAGCTACCTCTTGTTCTCTGACCTTCCATCAGAACAGGAATTAAGACAGTAATCGGTGGTCCTGACCGGTGGCAGCTGCAGTCAGCTGGCAATTTTCGTTTTTCAAGTGAAAGGGATGTTAATGTTTTTGTAGGAATTTAATAACTGACATACCAGAATAGACACTAAAGACACACGAGAAAGCCTCATAAGGTTAGACAGTGTTTTCACCTTTCAGCTTTTTGTAAGGTTGATATGATTGGCATTATGCGGGAATCTGAATGGCGTCCCGCTGTGGAAAGGGAAGCTTTTGTGCATTGCCATTTAGGGATTGCCCGTAATTTGACAGATGTTGAACCAGCCCGCATTCACTGCAATGACGGTGAAATCATTGAGTGATAAGGGACTGGCGTGGCCTCGTGCCTCGTGGCCTCAACACTTGCCTTACTGTGCCTTAGGATAAAGGGTTCACATTATTTTTTGTGAGTGGTGCACATCTGTGTGGGGTCTGGAATTGAAATAGCCATTTTGAAGGTCATTCCATGCAGTTCACAGGCTTGCCCTTCTGAAGACCTGAAGTTAATTTGAGCTAAATGCTCACGAAATTGTGCGGGCCATCATGTGCAGACTTTCAAGGCCATTTAGGCGTGACATTTCCGTAGCAACGCCATTCAAATCTGCCACCCCGTAGGCCAATTGGTGTTCAAGACCAAGAAGAATATTTTCGGCGAGCCGTGCATATCTGGCGTCCTTGGACATTATTTTCATGTATAGTAGACGCCAATTTGCTCACAATCAATATTGAGCAATTCGTACAAGTTTCAATCACGAATCACGTTTTGTGCTATGTACTAAGTTTGACATGAAGTTAGTTATTTCGGAAACAAGACACGTAATCGAATAATTTCGGAATTGCGTCAATAAAGTTTGTGAATACGAGAAGACCCACGGGATGCACGAACACGACGAGAAAGGGTCAAAACGCGAACACACTACGATATTTGGCTCCGCGAGCACTTTCAGCACTTAAGCGTCATACAAACCTGCCAGGACGGAATGAAGCGATGACGTATTGAGGGCATTTACAGTATATATGAATATGCATGCAGAGCAATCTTTTCCATTGAAACGCATACCAATAGGCATAAGTGAGTTTATTTTGTCATACATGATAGTTGCTGCAATGTCTTCAAATGTGGAGTATTCCCTTTAATTCGTTCCTTCTGATTTCCGGCGTCGCGGGAGGTTCGTTTCACGATCCGGCTCTGGGGGCTCACGGCGGGTGTCGTGATGTCTCAGGGCAAAGTTTGTTACGTCGCACTTGTGTCATGTTAATCTCGACGGTTTAATGTTATCTTCACCTCGTGTTCGCCTCGAAATCCTCGCGTGTAGTATTTCGCCTGTTTTTTTTTCTTGGAAATTCTCCGAAATGGTCCAGGATGGTGCACCGAGACAACCATCCTGTGGTTGATCGGGTTCGGACATCGCTGACCCATGATGTTGGGAAATTTGTTTGATATTGGAATTAAATAACGGAGGTATACCAGCAATGCGTACGGCATTACGGAAGTTGCCAGTATTTGTTCGTTTTTCGTACAGGTAGTGGTTTGCAGTTACCTCATTCAGATTGTTCTGGCGTAATTCATCGAGGGATATGACTGTGTCGGTCTGTGTTCGATACGGTTCACGAACTACGGTGTGGGTTCAACTGATAAGCACGGAACGGAAAGTATCTGTGTCACTTACGTGTGAAAAAACGTGTGGGATAATGTCGCAAAGTCGCGAAGTTATGGACTTCCATGGTTGTAGCTTGCTCGACCCCCTCCGCAACTCTGAGAATAAACTTGGAATGCGCGGAGAATCTGTTTTTTATGGCAGGTTTTGCGATCGTTCTCGGCTTAATCCCCCCCCCCCGCCCCCACCCCTCTCCTAACTCTTTCAAAACTACGCCCTGGTTAATTTCTGTGGGATATGCGAACCAGAAGAGCGGGACGGAATTATCCCGCATCTGGACTACCTGGTCTGGTAATGGTTGACCGATGCAAATTACGTACGTCATGGATGCAAAATATGGTGTGTTACCTATGAGCGTAAGCACAGTGTTGTGTGGTGTGAGCTACCAAGGGATGTGACCTTATTGAGGTTTCACGACCCTGAAGTGGTCCGAGACTGTGCTGTTCACGGTGCTCTGTGCAGCCTGTGACGTAAGTGGCATTTGAGGTGTCAGTTTCCGGTTTGGCGGTTGATAGTTTCCTGGTGCTGGAGGTTGCCGTTTTAATGTCTGATCCGATGAAGGCTTCCGTGATGCAGTGATATGTTAAAAGTCTCGCTCCTTGCCCGACGGTGGGCATGGTACCCCGACCGCCGAGTTAAGGCGGATCCGGGTTATGCGTTATTCATGTTGCACACTCACGCCCATTCGCCATTTTGGATGGTGTCTGAATAAGTTAATTTGTTTTGCTGGCATGGATTATAACTAAAAAATGGGTGGTATATGGACCCTGAAAGTGGCTAATGTGTTTGTGTAGCTGTTGAAAGGTCCTAGCTTTGGCATGCGCGGTGAGAAAATGCGACACTGCATGAAATATTACGTATTCTGCAGCCGGCTACCTGAGCTGATCGTGCCTTCTGCCCCTCCCACTTCGCTCAAAGATATCAAACTTAGGTCAAGCTTTTGACACACACGGCCTGCTTGAATTGGCCTCCGAATCGTCGTGCTTGAACGGCCTGCATGCAAGTCTTCTTGTCACGATTTTTAACATGTCAGCAACTCAATTTTCAACTTAATCAGCCTTATCCTTGTTCCCCAGGACGAGATCGAAGCCAAGAAGCTGAAGACTGTTAATGGTGAGGAAGAAGAGGACCTTGGAGAGGAGGAGGAGAACCTGGAGGGAGAGGACGAGGAGGAGCTGGGAGAGGACGACATCGAAGGAGAGGAGGACGAAGGGGACGAGGGTGAGAGTAATGTTTAAGGCACATCATTTTTATCTGTGCCCGTAAGACGCAATGATTAACTGTCCAGTAGGTAGGTTTCCATGTTGTATTTCTATCGATGGCTTATGTCCCGTCTACGCAGTTATTGTTAGCATTGTATCGACGTGCGCCCTGTTTTCCTCGTTGTCGGCAACGTGTTCTCTTTTTCAGAGGACGTAGAAGGCGAGGAGGGTGAAGAGGAGGACGGAGAGGAGGAGGAGGGTGGTGAGGAGGAGGAGGAGGATGCATAATTTGTGTAGCTTCAATTCATCTGGACTGACATGCGGCACGTGTGGCCCGGATCCGACCTCCATCGGGGGCCGTGCGAACGCGCGCACAGGAGGGCGGCCTGGGCCGGGGCCGGCCGGAGCCGATCAGCAGGTGGCCGGACTCGACGCAGCGGCGCCCGCGCGCGCCGGCAGAATCAATCGTATCCATCTCAGCCAGCCACAGACGAGATCACAAACCGTCTCACCCCTCGTCTGAGTCCTCATCTGTGTCATTGTAACTTATTCCTTCTCGATGTGTACAAGTAGAGAGGCGTGTCGTGTAGCACAGCGCCCGGGGGTGCGCAGGAGTACGTCCCGGTGCGCCGCGCATGCCGTCCGGTCCGGATGGGTGGTGTGCCGCGGGCATCGTGCTTCTGCATGGACCTGGGTGCGGGTCGTGTTGGTGTTTGGGTATTGCCACACGGATGGCATAATGCTGAAGAGAAAGGAAGTCGATTCCTTCTCCCGACACGGTCAATGAAACACCACGTTTCCCCGCTTTCCATCGGTTGCTGAATATTGGAACTTGTTGCTCCAGACGGCATCACTCATCATTTTACATAAACTTCAGGATCACAATGGCTTTTAATTCTATGAGAAGAGGAGACTAAATGACAGGTATGCTGGTGTGTTCTCTACGAGTGACGTCAGTAATACCGGGGGGCGCCCCCGGATCTCAACGCTGGTTTGTCCGCACGCTTAGGAACGTGTGAGCGTCTGCAATTATTACAGTACCGTTTTTTAATAAAGCCAAAAATGTCGAGCGCGTGTGTGGAGTTAAGCCATTGGGGTCCTTGTCGGCTGCGACTGGTGGCCTCCGGCGGGTCCCGCCGGCCGGCGGGCTTAGTTCGAGCGGCGCCCGACAGGTGGCTACCGTGGTCTGGCGAAGATGGCTGACACGGGCTCCAAAGATAGCCGGCTGGTGTTGACTCGGCGCGGCGGGTGGGGAGGGCAGCTGCGGCCGTGCCGGGTGGGTCGAGGGATGTCCGCCTTCCGACCAGTGCCGCTAGCTTCGGTCGGAGGAGACGAGCAACGTGGACTGGGCGGGCGGGATGCGGGCGCGCGACTACAGGCGGATGTATGGTGCGGGTAGTCGCGCGTGGCCGGGTCAGCGCTGGACCAGTCACGTCGCTCTCCGTGTGAAGCGGCGGGTGGGGGGGGGGGGGGGGGGGGACCGCGGCCAGATGGGGTGGCGCTACCGGCAGATGTCGCCAGTGGGCCCAGGGTGGGCTGGATCCCGGGTCCACTGGCATTTGCGCCTCTCGGCGCACGTGCGTTATGTGAAAGCCAGGCCGGGATGGGTGCTGGTCTGCATTGTACTGTTTGGGTCTGAACATCCTGCGTGTGTTTCCTTGGTATTCGTACGAATTGTAGCATTGATGATAGCAGTCGCTGTGGAAAGGGAATTTCAAGGCGTGGACGGGATTCACCGCGGGGAATCGAAACCTGTACGTCTGGGAAACAAGAGGTACGGGTTCGTTTCATGCAACGTCCGCTCTTCCTGCCAGCGCGGGAGGCAGGCGACGCAATATGGCCTCAGCGGCTGAATGTCGCGCAGCACCAGTGACGACGAGTCCAGGATGTTGAGCAAGGGGAATACTTGTATAGCGTTGGTGTACCATGTAGCTGTCGTAGAATTGCCGCAACTGCGATGTTTGAAGATTTTAGGTATGACTCGAAATGACACGAGTTCTCGGGCGTGTTCCAAGGACAAGATTGTTGCGCCATGACTGACTGAGACCGAACCACTATTGAGCCACTGAACCACACTGCGGGAACTGGCATGCTCATAAATTTTTAGGCACTACATACCCCAAAAATTGACAGCTGAGTCACAAGCTTGCAGACTGAGCGTCGCATGATCGACGCCTGAGGAGTTCCTGCAATTATTCTTTTTAATGGGACGAGAGATCACCACACAGTTAAGATTCAGGTCGTAAATACAATTGCGCGGAGCATTCCACGCGCTCACAAGACAATACGCTTAGCCTCATTAAACGTCGAACAACCAGGAGAAAGGAGAGGTTGACGCATTTATGTGATTGTTACATACCTTTCTTGAGTATGTAGTGTGCAATTTGGTACACGCATACCATTCAAAATTTATCCATTCGGTTGCATAATATAGATGCAGAAGGTTTGTGCATAAATATTGTACATATATATATATATATATATATATATATATATATATATATACATATCCATCTGTATGCTTTCTTCTTTAATACTTTTTGAGTCGTATATTTATTTCAAATTCAAGCAGCATTAAAAAAGGAAGGAAGCGTGCAGAATATGGCCTAAGTACTCTAAAAGGCTTTAAGGTAGTACGTCTGAGGAAGTTGAAAATCTTACACGGGAGGGGGGGGGGGGGGGGGTCGAAGCAAGCCCTGTCGAACGACGGATTCTAAAAGGGAGTGTTCCAAGTTTGTGTGGGATTTCGACTGAAATAGCCATCTGGAAGATTATTCGGTACAGTTCACAGCCCTGCCGCCTTTCTTAAAATGAGCATTCCGCATTTATATGGGATTTGAACTGAAACAGCTATCTTGAAGACCCAACCCTTCTTAAGAACTAAACATCGGGTTTCTGAGCTACACAACCGCAAAAAAGGAAAGGTTGCCTTAAGGTAACCTTGGCACTTATGGCGTCCTAATCACGTTATTAAAATCCTGCATTTTCATAAGCCATGTAGCGATGAAGGTCGAGAAAAAGATAATGGTAAGCATACCGATAGTTATAAGTGAGCTCGTTCCATCATATATGATGTTTGTTTCAATATCTTCAAACACGAAACATTCCCTTTAAGACCAAAACCGCTCCAGTGTCACCCAGGCATCGATGACACCATAATAACGTGATCTAAATCCTGCCATTCCATTGGCCATGTGGCGACCAAGACCAAGAAAATAAAAATTGTCCAGTCATTAGCACGGACACGGGTGGGGGGGGGAGGGGGGTCAGATTGACCGCCACCGGAATGATTTTCAAATGGTTTCCGAAAGATGCGGCGTAGCCGTGCCAAAATTTTGCATTCTTCTAGACAATTGAACAGCGGATTGTGTGGTATTAAACAATTAAATGCACCTTGTAAGGTCGCTGACCTACGGCAGGTCAAAGTCAGTCCATGAATTCGGCGAAGCCAATTTCTTGGAAATCGTCCAACCTGATGAAACAAAAGAGTGTTAGACGGAGCCATGCATCTTTGAGATACTTGAGCAACACGTCGATTTAATGACCAAATTGTGCTGACGTAGGGACAGATATGAATGTCAGGCCGAGGTCAAAACCAACGTGTTTTATTTATTCAGGGCTTGCAATATGGGATAGTTTCAGGTGCTCATTTTGAATGTATTGGTGACAAGAACCGCACTGGACGTCCTCCATGAACTTCTTAAATGTCAGTAAAGTTAACTGACCTAAAATGACCCATGTCAACATTTGGTTAGTAGGAACATACTGCCTGACGTAATTTTTGTAGCTTATTCAAATGTAAAACTCAAACAGTGTTCTATGATTTTGGTCACCATGACCTTCAAAAGGTTAAACAAGGTCACTGGCCTTAAATGAGCATGTGACTGCTTACAAGCATCTAGGTACCGGGACACTTCGGAGATCAACTCGGAGTTTGACCTTGTTTAACTTTATTTGACCGGAAGGTCATGACACAGGATTGTCAAAATTGGTCCTAGTTCACGTACAGGACAACACACTCTTTAAATTGTGTCTCTACCTCCTTTAGTTCCTGAGATCTCAGCGGGGTCAGATTGACCCCACTCGAGCGAAGGGTATCCAACCTGCCACCCGGGCGCGCGTTAACATCTGGCCTTCGTGAGCGCGGCTACCAGATGTGACGGCCGGCAACTGGCTCTCACTTAATGCTGTGTAAGGCGCAATGACGCAATCAATGACGTGTTGAGTATAGTTACAAAACAGAGAATTTGTGTTGCCTACAGCGGTCTTTACCACTTAAAAGTATACCATTGGTTGTAAGGCAGCTTGTTTGACTATATTTGATGGTTGCTACAAAATCCTGAAATGTGAACATTCTTTTCATGAACGATGATGAGCTGATCATCATTTCCAGGTTTTCATGATTTTGCTTCTGACATGCCATCGTGTGTGTAAACAGCCTACGCAAAAGTTCGTTGTATCCACAGATCTTAGTTCAGACGTTCGTTTCGTACAGGTTCTTGTTTCACCGGACTCGTACTTCTGTTTTTTTTACTACAGTGCGTTCGTTATCACTACCAACTATAGTACAAAACATTTAACATGCATATTTGTAAGGTGAATGAGGGGATGTCGTAACTTCGCACGTTGTCGGCCCAAAAATGACGGCGGCGGGCCGAGTCCCGGAGCATGACATTATGTAACAGGTAAATAACTAACTGACAAGCTTGGTGATGAAGGCTTAGCTAAAATGAAGCCAGGACTAGAATAGACTGCTTGAGACAGTTAATAGTTTTATAGAATGCCGTGCCTTGGCTAGTGAAAGCATGCCTTGATATATAATGCGTCTAATATATATAAACATATATATATACATATATTATAGATTATATATAAATATATAAATATGCATGTAATGCATATATATTATATATAAACATATATATATATATAGATAGATAGATATATAGATCGATAGATAGATAGATAGATAGATAGATATATGTATATATATATATATATACATATTAGTATAAGTTAAAGGTGGTATCCTTCGAGTGTTACATGTAACATTTAATATACATAGCCTATTTGTACTTAACACTATATATGTGTATGTGTATGTGTATAAATATGAAGAAATGTATATGTACATATTTATCTTTCATATATATATATATATATATATATATATAATATTTTTATCGATATCAGGACATGCCTTCTTGACCACAAGCCGCACCTTCTTCAGCACTGTCAGGTGGCATACAGATCCTTATAATCCTGTGACCCGGGGGGGGGGGACGACGCAAACAAAAATGACACCCCTGTTATCGCCGCGTGGATAGCCTTGAGATTTGCCATGTCTCTCACACATTTCTTTAGGTACGGTAATTTCGGTCTTTGCTTTTCCGAACTCTCTTTTCAGTTCTGGTTTCATCGAAAAGACCCAAGTCTCGTCGCACACGACGCTCATATGAAGGAAATGATTTTCCTCTGTGCGTGCAGAGGCGAGATGCTTGGGTGCAGTCGCGTCAAGGCGCTGGCGCCTGTTCCTGTGTCAGAAGGCGAGGCACCCACTCCGCCGGGATCTTGCTCTTGTCACGTTTCTTTTCGATGATGTGATAAGCTGTCCCGTTACCCAGATTCGGTTCATTCCAACTCGTCTTGCTGTCATTCGCCTATTCCTGTGGATATGACCTGCACTTTCTTGGCCGTCTCTGATGTGGCTGTAAAGCTTGGGTGCCTATAGCGGGGATCGTCTCTAAGTGCTCAACCTTTCCGTGTAGAAACGCTTAGGTCACTTCCAATCGCTTTCATATGCTGGACACTCAGGTCCTAGGGCTTGCGGTAACAAGTTGTGAGATTCGGCGGTGGACGTTTGGACCAGCACATGGAGCATGATTGCCGCTCGCACTTTTGAAAAAGTTTTGGGTGTGAGAAGTAAATATATATATATATATATATATATATATATATATATATATATATATATGTATATATATAGCGTGCTAGGAAAAGTAGACTGTTTTCAATCAAATCCATCATAGGGCACAACTTCATGCACTTTGCTCGTCTGATGTCATAGTC